GGGGGCGGGTTTTTTGTGAAAATTAAAAAAAAAAAAAAAAAAAAAAAAAAAAGGATGGTTCTTCACAACATAGTGAAGAAATTGATTCCATACTGAGGCTGCTGAATGAACTCTTTTGCTTTGCTTTTTTCAATTTATTTTGCTAGAATTAAAATAGCCAGATAAAAGTAAGCTGTTTTCAGGATCTATCCCTTAACTAGAGCGTCTGACAAGCACCAGTAGTAAACATACATTGTTCTAACTGTAGATTATTATGGAAGTCATGTAGTAGCTCATAGATATTTAATTTATAGTACTGAATATTTAAATTTTCCCCTTTAATTCATGAATAATGAATATGTTTCTGATATTTTTGGCCATATCATTTCTCCTTTCATTTGGATGCCCAAGTAAGTGCAATAACAAATGTACAAATGAAAAATAATATCCTTTGCATCTCTAGGCTTAACTCTCTGCAGATCTTTGAACAATGTCATGAAAATATTTGTTGTATGACAACAGGTAATTCATGATGTTCATTTGCCAGGGAAGACTTTTATAGCAACCAGCACAGTGCACACCTCTGTTAGATGAGACAGTCACTCACCTATGCAGCACCCACAAGCTTTGGAAGTAGTGGTAGCTGAAGAAAATGGGAAGGAGAAAAGGAAAAGTATGGAGGTGAAAAACAGGGACTGAATGTGAAAGCCATGATAGCTGCCGAAGACTTTTCTGGGATACACAGAAATTAGCTGTCCATATAATGGGTATTCTGGGTGACAGCTGAAGCTTCTGTGATGCTTGAACTTAGCTAACCTTTGTAGGATATTTTGTCTGTTAACTCTTTTTGTAAGGTTTGTGAAATGCAAGACTTTTTTTTCTTCATGAAATATGATCTGAAGTTATTCTATTTGTCCTTTATTAATGTAATATTCATCTCAAAACACAGAAGCCTAGGAGTAGATTGGTTTTTTCCTTGCTTGATTATTCCTTATTGAGAACAGGAAACTGATTTTTTTTTTTTTTGTTGCACTGAGTGTGGTAAACTGTCCCTGATCAACCTTATATACATCTCCTCTGTACTGTTGCTTCTGAGGATCCCCTTTCATTGGATGCTTCATCATTATTTTGGATTATTTTTTGCTGTGGGGATATTAGATTATATTTTTTGAGCTGATTCTTGACACTGACTGTAGCAATCAGTGTAATGTTCAAGAAAGGAAAGCTAAGGCATTAACCCAGCCAAGGAAGAGGAGTTGCTTCAAAATTTTGAAGGGCTTGAAGATGCAGCAAGAATGTTGGGAAATCTAAAGCAGACAGTAGATTATGGAAGTGTATGTGTGGTGAGGAGAAAAGGAAGACTGAAGATGTGAGTGTGGTACGCCAGCAGGAAATTTGTTGAAGATTGTAGATAGGATAGGTAATTTCAATTGTAGGGTTAAAAAAAAAAAAAAAGGAATATCAACCATTGAAACAATCACTGTGTTGAGGAATTTGCACGTCTGATCTGCCCTGAGGAATTACCTGTGTATAGGTTGCATATGTCTAAAGTTAATATTGGCTATATGTACATTTGCTAGGAATGCCTAAAGAAAATCAGGAGAAAGAGTTCTAATTTCATAAAGTCATTCTTTCGATGGCAGAGGGAAGGTTTATTGTTTCTGCACGTTTTAAGTTACCAGTGTTGAAAGTTGGGAGGGAAGGTTTTATGTGCATAGTAGATAAGATATGTTTTCATTTTTTTCTGTGGTTTATAACAGCCGTACTTAATAATGTCAGCTGGATCCAGAATATGTGTGAATATTCACATTTGGATTATATTATCTTGTGAATATAATTTACTAAAACAATAGGGCACTTCTTGAATTTTGTTAAATTCAAAGATACTGCAACATAAGTGTCTGTGTATGCAACAATTTGGCATAAGCTGAAACTCCTGTATTATCATGTTTACAGTAATTTATTAGTACTTTTTAGTGAATTGCTACTTCAGATTAATTTGGTATTAATTAATATTAAAGCAGTGTATAATATTTTTCCAAGTGAGGTCTCTGTTTCCCATATTTCCATTCCTGTATAAACGCCATACTTAAATGGCATCTCATGCATGTATTAATTTGAAGTTGTGTTCATGGCATCAGTGTTTCATTTTTGGTCACAAAATGTATGATATCTTTTTCATAGTGAAGAATTTTTGATGTAAAGAAGAACAAGCTGAGTAAGTGGAAGGTTGGACTAAGAGCATTTTTCCTATAGCTGTGTTTGTACTGAAGCATCCTGTCTTTTGAGCAAACAGCGAAAGAGTAACTTTTCAGCTAAAACAAATCCCTAATTTGCATATAACTAGTATAAATAGCTCATAAAGTCTGCTGATGCTCCAAAAAACAGGAATAAAAAGGTACTATTAATGAAATTTAGGCTTCTTCTCTGATAAAAGTGGCACTGGTGGCAGCTGGTTTCATGCAGCACAGCAGCTGTCACTGTAGAGGTGGAATAGAGGGGAATGGTAAGGGAACAATCATGTCCACATGTAAGCAAAAAGTGACAAGAGTAAGACCAAAAAGCCGAGAGTGTAATTCCATTTTAATAGCCTAAGGAATTTTCTCAGATATGGGGATTTTCCACCAATGTCTCATTGTTTTTTTCAATAGGCACTCTTTAGCACAGTGCAGTAAGCTTCTAAGGATTCAAAATTAACCTCACTTTGTAATTTATGCCATGCAATGTGGAAAGATTGGAGAAATAAAACTAAAAGTAGTCATATAATCCATTTTGTAAAATTATATCCATGCATCAGAAGTTAAGCAAAGCATTTCTTCATATTCACCATACATGATGGCTGTCATATTCACAAAGCATTGTATCATTAACTGGAGATGCAGACTTGTGCTAATCAAAATTGCTCTTGATGCAAAATCATGTTTAGCATATGAAAAACATAATCATGAACTGACATTAGCCATTATATAAATATGAATGTGCTTAGAATATTACAGCATGTGCTATTTATATGTTGCTTGCCAAAAATAATCCAGACTAATGAATGTACAAAAATTATTTTTATTTTTGAGAAGAGAAACTAATGCACATCTAAGTTGTTTACATAGGCACTGTGAATAATTATATGTTCTTTTTTAAATGGAATTTAAAAATCCTTATTTATTTTGCCATACTGTTCTTCTCTTTGCTTAGTAGTACTTTGAACATAAGCACTTTTTATTTGAAATAAAAATTCTCTCTTAAATTTTGTTTTTATGCTTCAATGTAATTTCTGCATCTCAGCATGCATTTATGCACTTTATTTTTGTTGCCGGACTCTCATAGATGCAGTATAACTTAGTTCCTCATTTGTTCCTCTGAAGCAGTATGTAATCTAAGAATGTAATCTATTTTCCTCCCTGCCCCACCCTTCAACTGGTAATTAAATCACATATCTATATTGAAATAAGTTTTCATTTGCCTCTTGTTTTCCTGGAACATTTCAGCTACTTACTTCTAATCCTCTTCCAGTTATTTGTTTCAGGCTAGAATCGCTGAAGCAAGATGAATGAAAGATCTGTCTGACCCCACTTAACTAATTATTTCCTATACAAATCAGTTAAATTTCGTTTTTCCAGCTAGACAATAAAAACAATTAGCACAACTAGCTCAGCAGTCCACCCCAGAACATAAAATTTTTTAACTTGCATACTGTCACTTTTTAATAAATATTTCATTGTATTCTCTGTTTTCAGCCCAAATAATTTAATTATTTCAGTATATTTTAATGCAAGAAGGCCATTTAGATTTAGATCTCTGTTGAATATTCTCTCTGTGATCTCAAATTTCCACTCTGCCTCAAAAACTAAAGAACATAGCTGATACAATTCCTTTAATAGCTCAATAAAGGGTGCAAGGAAAATGATATATAAAACAGAAAAGAAAGAATTGTGGTTTTTTACAATTTCCAGAAAAAAATGTTGATTTTTTTTTGGTGGTGTTTTGTTTCCTCATAACCAAGAACTTCTCAAATAAATTTGTGCAAATAAATAGGGTAGATATATAAGTTTTATGTCTCCCTGGCATTGAAGATTAAAAAGAAATTCCAGAGGCAGTAGATGACATTTTTCCCAAATGAAGTAAAATAGAAAATAAAATTAGTATTTGAGGTATCATATAACAAAGATGGTAGAATTTTCACATACAAGGCCATTCTAAAGGCCACTCACTTATTTTGTCATTGCTTGACAAAAAAAATACTTACCTCTGACTTTCTCTACCTAGGGTTGTTCTGTACATTGCAATACAACATATTGACTAAAGCTTCCTTGGACACCATAGTCAATTTAACTGTAGCAATACTGAGTTTCACAGGAGCTGAGACAAAAAACCTTTTTTTATAAACCGTCTTTTTTTGTTACCGTATTGGAAAAAAATTAACCTAATTCAGTGGCCCTTTTTAATTGAACTTCATTGCTAAAATTTTAAGGAAAAACATTTTGATCTACAAAAGTAGATAAGATGTTTTAATAGCACTATAGTGTAGCCATTTTTAAATGTTGATTTGAAAAATAAGTTACTTTATTTGCATAAACAGTCATGACATTTCTAGTAGTACTGCATATTAGGCTAATAAAGAATTTATATAAAATGGGTGAAATTTTGAAATTAATCAATGAAAATTTTAATTTTAACATTTTTTTTGATATGTTGTTTTATAGTAAATGATTTTGCTATTGGTTTAGTTTCAAATCTGAAAATAAACACATTTTGGGATTTTTTGGTTTCCTGAGCTTTGATACACTCTATACTACTTTGTCCCTGCAGTATCCTCTGTTCTATGGTAAAGGTCTAGCACTGTGCTGAATCTCTTGTTTTTGAAATGGTAGCAGCTTGTATCCAAGAATAATGGGAGAATATAATACCTTGTATAGAATGTGAATGTGACCTACACTTGCTGATAAGTTTTTAGTGTGTTTGTACATACTGTAGAATTCCGTTTTATCAGTATGCAGATTGTAGAGAGAAAAACAGAGTTCTTTTATTAATAGAAAAATAGTGTAGGGTTTTTTAATAGGGAATAAACCGTATCCACTGTGTGTGAATAGAGAGCAAAGTGCATTTTGGGAGAGGTTGGACAAGAACATGGAATTCATACTGACAACAGCCTCATTTCCACAGTGTTTCCCCAGCTGTACTACTGGGACAGAAAATGGAGTGTATCTATTACACGGCAGGTGACAAATTACTGGTTTTAAGAACAAAGCCTGCTTTCAAGATGTTTTCTCACTGTATAGGTTAAGTAGATCAGTTTTGTGCTCTGTAATAGACTGATCAACAATGACTCTCCTCCCTTTAATTAAAGGTCATAGAACTTGAGTCACCCGAGAGGAAGAAACACTTTTAGAGTCAGACTTAAAAACTATCATAATATGTTGCATATATGTTTCACAGTAAAGCAGATATACATTTTAGCCAATTACCGTGTGAGTAGATGGTTTTGTCACAGATTAGCAAATTTGAATATTGAGAGATTAATTAATAGTAAGCTTACAGGCATAACTTTCTTATAGTGTATTTGGATCAAGCCCATTCTATTAAATTATGATTTGAATAAATTAAACTTATGAAGTCAAAGCTGATGGAAATCAAGCAGTTTAATTCTTTGAAAAAATATTTGCACAGTACAATATTTCTGCTTTTTAATTAAAAAAATTTTTCTAAAGCCTAGTGACGTATAAAGTTTAGATCAGAGTTTTTTGTGTTGACTTTAAGAACTGAATATTTCTATTCTTAAACTAAATAATATTAGGAGAGGAAATCTACACAGCTGTACCTTACCTTAATAATTAGAAAACATCTTCAAAATGTATTTTTTGAGGTTGAAAAATATCATTTCATGTAATTTGTCAATTTATGTAATGATTCATGTGGGAAATCGGAAAACTTCGGATTTTAATAGATATTTTGACTATCATGTTGTGTCTCATTGTTAGTGGACAGAAACATCTGATTTTCTATCACACTAGTGTAGCTCCATTCAAAACCTTGGATGTTTTGGGGTTTTTTTTTCAGAATTTAGGTTTTAATGTCAACCTAAGGGAAGGTTTCTGTGAAAATATAGATTTTCCTTTTGTGATCTGAGTCAATGCTATAAAAGACTAGAAAAAATGTGCTTTTTCACAGAACTTGTAAAGATACAGCAGAGTTTAAGTTATTACATCAGGGTATTCTCAAATAGCTCTTGGACATGATCCATCAAATGCATGAAACCCAGATTCATCTGTGGTTATGGTGTTTGCAGTTTTTAGGACCAACTGTATCAGGCTGAAGTTGCCTCATAACAAAATAGCTGAGAAAAATAAAAGTCACTTAGAAGCAGTTAATGTTAAATCTGTTTACTAAATATGTGCATTCTCACTTTCTTGGTTCAGTAAAATTGTGCTAGTCTGTGAAGTCTGTAAGTCCTTTTGCATCTTTTAGAATCTGTACTGTTCTTGAACCAGAATATGGCTTCTCTAAATGATGTCAGATATAAAATATGGAATTATTGATCTTTACTGTGGCCAAAGACAAAAAATTAAGACTGGAGAAGAAATTTGCATAACCTGGGGCCTCCCTACATAGTATATGAATCAAAGGAATTGATTTGTGCCTAATGACGGGCTTTTACAAAACAGGCATGCCATTTCAGCAATATGTATGAAGATAATCCATGCCTTACTGCCTCTTGTTGTTTAGCTTATTGATGTAAAACCAGGCTTTGTCAGAGTTTGTTATAGCTGATGATATTCTGGGAAAGAAGTTACTCAGATCGGGGGTTTTGATACATAATTGTACATTGGGAAAAAAACTCGTATCACTGTAGTTTAACTCCAGTTAAACAAGAGCTAAACCATCTTGACGTGAACTTTTATATCTAAACTTACTGCAACACATTTGAACTGTGATTTTAAGGCTTGTAGTATTCAGGGTTGAAATGGAATAAGAAAAGGCATACATGTGGCCAAATAGTACTTTCTTCCATAGTAAATGTAATTCTTCATCTTGGTGCAAAGCATGCTTACATTTAATTTTATCCTTATTATGCTTTCCAGTTAGTTCTGTCTTTTGCACTGGAGGTATTTATGCTCCACGAGCATGAATCTTCAATGTTAGGGCTCCATTTGCCAGACTTACAGCACAAATATGGTGTAAGAACATGGTGTAACTTTCTTTGCTATTGCTGTGGCATACCTTTAGTAAGCATGAGAACAGAGATATCCCATATTGTTTAGAAGCCATTAGCACTGAGGCATCGGCCGTTCTTTACAGTATCCCAAATTTCTGGCGTTCTTGTTTTCAGGTACAGCAAGTGCAGACTGTGCAACAGGTACAGCATGTCTACCCAACCCAGGTTCAGTACGTGGAGGGAAGTGACACGGTCTACACTAATGGAGCCATGTAAGTTGGCAAATGATCAGAATTTGAATGTTTGTTAAAATGTGAAGTTAAATGCATACTTTCAGTTAGATTCTACAAAGTAGTGTATTTTAAGTTGCAAAGAAAAATTATGCTATCAAAGCTCTTTTATGGCTAAAATAGATTTTTTGATAAAAAGCTAAATTCACTGTTTGTTTTTATTAAGGCAGAATTTTTGTGTAAAAAGAATTCTTGTGATTGTTTTAATTGGACTTAGATGAAATTACATATGCAGCATAGTGTTGTTTGAAGAAGTACCTTTCAGTTTATGGGCAAGTTCTGTCCATAGGATGTAGTGTGTAACTTCTGTCCTCAGAACAGAAGGCAAAGCCTTCTGTATTCCTGGCTGCAGTCCTAGTGGCAAATGCATAGAAAGGTGCAGCAGCTGTAGTTATTATTTAAAGAAAGTAGTTATGTAATTTAATTTCTGTGTTTAAAAAAATGAGAGAAATATGTTTTTCCAAAGAAATTAAGAGAGGCAGAGGAAGGAGAGTAACTTTGTCTCCTTTTGCTGATTCTTTACCCTCTTTTCTGCGCATTACTGTGCATTTCCTGCTTCCCTGAACATACTTTTCCATCATCAAGTTCCTTTCCCCAATATGTAAGCTTAAAAACATAGAAAGAATAGTCAGCTCAGACATCAAAGTAGGCTCATGTTGCTTGGGAAGGAGCTTCTCCACTTCTTTTTTTTTCATTTGCCTACCTTTTGCCATTTTGCCATGTTACTGAGTTTAGGAAGAAATTATTTAGTACCTGCAGGTACTTATTTGTTGATGGTAATTCAAGAGAGATTCAAAAGAGCAATATTATATGAATCAGAGACTTCCGTTAACACTGCTAGCATTCTGTGGTCATCTTTATTAGCGTATTTTGCTTAATTAATTTTTCACATACTGTCTTGTCTGTTTTCTTCTCATTTGTAAATCCTAAACAACGTTATCTTAAATGTACATTAGACTTCCCTATGGTGCTGGTTTTTACTGGGACAGAGTTCCTTTTCTTCATAGTACCTGGTCTATTGCTATGTTTTGGACTTGTGCTGCAAACAGTGTGGACAAAGATGTTTTAGTTCTTGCTGAGTACTGCTTACACAACATGAGGGCCTTTTCTACTTCTCACACCACCCTGTCAGTGAATAGGCTGGAGGTGCACAAGGAGCTGCGATGGGACACAGCTGGGACAACTAACCCCAACTGACCAAAGGGATATTCCAGACCATATGACGTCATGCTCAGCATATAAAGCTGGGGGAAGAAGAAGGAAGGGGAGGTGTTAAGTGATGGCACTTATTTTCCCAAGTAACTGTTATGCGTGATCGAGCCCCGCTTTCCTGGTGATGGCTGAAGGGTGGGATTGAGTGAATGAATTCCTTGTTTTGCTTTGGTTGTGTGTGCAGCTTTTGCTTTACCTATTGAACTGTGTTTATCTTAGCCCACAAGTTTTCTCATTTTTGCCCTTATGATTCTTCCCCCCATCCCACTGGAGGGTGGAATGAGCAAATGGCTGTGAGGGGCTTAGTTGCCAGCTAGGGTTAAACCACAACAGTCCTTTCTGGCACCAAGCATGGGAACATGGTCCCTGTCTGTGGTGTAAAACATATTTTTTCACATCTTGTCCTCTTCAGACTGGCCCAAGTGCCATGGCACAAGTTGTGCTGTATTCTCCTGTGGGGCTGATGTGTCAGGCCATCAAACTGACACAGTCCAGTAAACCTGGTTGTCCCTTTCCTCCACCTGGCCAGAGGCGGGGCCTCTATATTCCTGGTCAGAGTATTCATTACTTGAGTAATCAGAAACCAAAACCAGTATTTAACATGTACAGCCAAAAAGGGTGCATGGCAAATATTAGGGGTTTTTTCCACCCCTGGGGCAGTCTATTCCAGGTGTATCGGATACTCCTCTAAGTGAAAGCAAACTGTGGCCTGCACTCTGCTGCCAATGGGATTGAGAAGAACGCCTTAGGGATATCAGTTGTAGCCTACCACTTGCCTACTTGTGACTCCAGTTCATGCTGGAGTTCTAGCATGTCTAGTACAGCAGCACTCAGTGGCAGCATGAGTTCATTGCAACCACAATAGTACACTGTTAGCTCCAGGTCATTCTTAAATACACTATTATTCAAGTTTCTCTTTTTATTTATCACTTGTAAGTTCTTATGTGAGCTGTTCACGCATGCACTTTTGGCAGTGTGTGAGGTGTGTACTACATGACTGCTTATAGTCCTTGGAAAAAACAGAGCCAGATGGTACTAACTGCTTAGTGCAAACCTTCAGATTTCCACGATTTTATTGTGTCTCTGTATCAGAATCCTTTTGTCTGTATCTGCAAAATCAATCAATGGGATATAAAAGACTTCTTAACACAATTAGAAAACACTCCTTAGCAGGTGAGCCTAATCCACATTGTCTTTCCCTCCTAGAGAAGAAGAGTTTACCTATGTGGTCATGACAACAGTGAGAACAGCCAGTTTGTTGTTCAGTATTTTTAGGACATTGACCTTTCTAAAGATTATGGTTTCATTCATGGAAAATAGAACTAGTCTGTGTTACACATTTTTCTATATACTTGTATACTCCAGATTAAGAATGGAAAATGTCATTTAGGTAAATTAAAGTTATTGCATATGTATCTTACGTGTTGTAATGCCATTCATTTATTTGTCAGATGGAGGAGAACAGGCCTCTAGGTTGCTGATGGCTAGCTTAAAGAGCTAGATTAAAGAGTTGTTATTCTGTTTGCTGTTTTATCATTGCCTAAATTCTGTGGTTTAAAAAAAATATATATATATTTGTTTCTCTTCTTGTTTTGCCACTGGATTAGGTTGTTCAGAGCTATATCAATGTGGGAGTGACAATTTAGAGTTTTTGGAAATGAACAAAAAGCATACCGTATCCCTAACATAGTTGACATAGACTGTGTTGAGTTCTACTGTGGCAGAAAACACAGAGGCCAGCCTCTCTTGTGCTAAAATGTTTAGGCAAGTGTTCAGATTGCAGTTTATCTTTTTGTGTTCTTCATGCTGAAATCTGTGAAAGGTGAGCCTTGTGTGTCCTGACAGATTCACAGAAGTGAATTGCTCTCTTGGGAATCTGTTTGGCTGTTTCACTTTCAGAATATAGGATTAGGTTTGTAAATGAGGTGAATGAATAGAGTGATCACCGGTTTGTCTTTTGGATCATCTTCCTATTATGATATGTTTGATTTATTTTATGACCATGCTAAATCAAGATCTTAATTCTAACTCAAAATCAGATACAGGATGCTTCCATAATCTATCAAGTGATAGTACTTGGGTGAGAAGTCTGCAACTCATAGTTAGGGTGAAAACATTAATTCAGTGTACAGGCATGGAATAAATGTTACAGCATATCTGATGAAAGAATTATTCTTTATTTCAAAATAAAGCACTTGCAGACTAGCGTCGATTTAAGTCCATCTATGCTAGCAAAAAAGGATGCAGTTAGAATATATATGAGGAGAAAGTTACCTGATTCTTTTGATTCTAAAGGTAAGACGTTAGTCAGGTTTTGCAGTCTTTGTCAAGTGTAACTGTTGTGTTCTTACAACACAATTCTTCCCACACATTTTATATCATGATTTGTCTATGCTTAAAAGATTTTGTTTTATTATAATTGGAGGCATAATGATAATACAAGGAGTGTTACCTACAACTTGTCACATACCTTGTATAATATGAGAATATTTCAATTATGCTATCTACATTTGTGTCTGGTTAATAACAATTTCGCTTGTCAAGCATGTCACACTATCCTGAAACAAAAATGCATTGTTGTTGCGATGATATGTACAGGCTTACCTGGCAGTTTAGAATAGATAAAGAATATTATGGCTGCTCCTCTATTAAGAAACTAAGTGAGTCCCCTGTACTAGGTATGAACTTTCTTCTTTTATAAATTGTAAGGTATTAATCAAATGTAGCCATTTACCTGATAATTCTGGTGTGGCAGAGAGTTTTAATTGCTGGGATTACCCAAGAACTGCTGTTGTGTCCAAACCACATTCTACGCCAATTTGTTGTACTACAATTTATGTGGTTTATGTGTGCAAAACACGCCTTGTATGCAAACCCAAGAATTTAGTGTTACTCTAATTGAAATCTTAACAGTCAAACCAAAGAATTATTATCAATGCAATTAAAGTTATCTTCCTAGTATCCGTCTCTTTTTCTCTGGCATTGTGCTTACCCTTTTAGTACCCCTCTGCATACCAAGTTCAATGGCTTTCATCTGAGAAAGGATTACAGCAAGTTACCACCATCACAGGTGTTATACCTGGAGGAGCATGATGGATAGTGGGGGGCTCTCTACTCACATTGGGTCCACTTGCACCTATTTTTAGTACTTTCTGGCACCGTCTACACCGTATTCATTCTTCATTGGTTGCTGTTTCCATATAACATCTGAATTTGCTATTTATGGTGTGTTTTACATTTGCTGGATACTTCTTGAATACTGTTATCCCAAGCTCATGATCCTCTTTGCTACTTTTTTAGTCTAGGGTCAGGGACTGTTTATTCTACATAGAATAGCTATTCAGTATTACTGTCTGTTAGAGCAACGCATCAGCATTTTAACGATAGGTGTTAAACCACATAATCATAGAAAGCTAAACTAAAGTGGAAACAGGTTAAGTAACATTTATTTGATTATTCGACAATTATAGCTAAGCTAGAACAAAGCTCTAGGCTAGCACAGACAAGTTGAGACAAAGGAAGCCTGACAAGCCCAAGTCTTGAGGTCTTGCAGATTTAGTACAAACAATGTGACATGTTCCTAACAGTGGCAATACCATATTTCTTGGACTATAGGTCTGCGTTACTTCAGAATTTTTAGAGATCTGTAACTAAGGTTTGCTTATCTGTCTAATTACAGGTCCTGAGAATATAATTTATAAGTTTTCTCCTCTGTTTTCATTTACTTTGTTCTCTGGTTTACAGAATATTCCTGCAGTTGTGCATTGTGT